CTCCTCTTCCTATTTTCCTTTGTGCTGATATTGTTATATATACTATGTCTGTATATGATTTAAATCCAATCATACAGTCTTATAAATATTGTTATATGCAATCATGTGTCTTTAAAAGACATTAAATACAAAATTAGAAAAATGTACTTGTATCAACTGTTATATTTACCATTTCTTCTTGTGGATTGAAGTCCAACGTCACTTCCTTTCAGCCTGGAGGATTTACTTCCGTGTTTCTTGTAAGGCAGGTCTGTTAGCAATGAATTCTCTCAGTCTCTGTTTAGCTGTAGATGTCTTTATTTCACCCTTTTTAAAATTTCTATTGTTGTTGTTGTCTAGAATATACACAACACATACACCAGTTCAACTGTTTCTATATGCACAATTCAGTAACATCGATGACATTCTTCAAGTTGTGCATCCATTCTCACCCTCCTTTTCTGAGTTGTTCCTCCCCGTTAACATAAACTCACTGCCCCCTAAGCTTCCTCTCTAATCTTTCAAGTTGCTGTTGTCACTTTGATCCTGTATAGTTTTTAAAAGAGCATAATACTCAAGGCAGACATTTTTTACTAGTTTAGCTAAACTATTGTTTGGCTTTAAGAAGATATCAGGGAATATTTTTGGTTTAAGTTTTAAAGATTATCTCAGGGCAATAGTTTCAGGGGTTCATCCAGCGCCCATGGCTCCAAAAGTCTGGAGTCCATGAGAATTTTAAATTCTGTCTACATTTTCCCCCTTTTGATCAGGATTCTTATATAGAATCTTTGATCAATATGTTCAGTAATTGTAGCCAGGCACCACCCAGTTTTTCTGGTCTCAAGGCAAAGGAGGCCATTGCTCATGGTGGTAATTAGCCTCACATTCCATATCCTCCTTGTATTCCTGACTCTCTTCTTCCTCTGTTGTTCTGGGTGAATAGAGACCAATTGTCAAGACTTGGATGGCCACTTGCAAGCTTTTAAGACCCCAGGAACTACGTAATGAACTAGGAGGTAGAACAGAAGCACTAAACACGTTATTAGACCAATTAACTAGGATGTTCCATGAAAACAAGACCCTAAACCTCCAAACCAAGGAACCACATCCTGTGAGGTTTTTGGTTGTACATAAGCAGTCTCAGTAGCTACTGTTGTGTGTGTGTGTGTGTTGTTGTTGTTGTTGTTGTAGTAAATGTATCTATCACACAGCTTTTGCCAATTCAACTTTTTACAGGTACACAACTTATTGACATTAATTACTGCAAAAATGGCAAGGCAGACGAGGTCCTCTAACTTCACAAGCAGGGAGGAGAATCACCAACATCAGCCCAAGACTGATTCCTGTGAAGTGGAGGTCAAACATAGCTTCTCTCGCCAACCTTTTCAGCAATTCCGACATCAGCCTTCCCTCTCATGGCACTCTCTACCTCTCTACGGGGTTCGATAATTCATTATAATGGCCACACAGAATGCACAGACTATACTCACAGTTATGGGGCTTATTTGGGAAGTAACAGGTTACAATTCAGGATAAGGAATGACTCAGGATACGGTTTTTCAATCAGGACAGTTTCTTCTCAGCCATGCCTGAAAGCAGTCTTCTTTCTAGCCATCAGCCTCTAGCTCAGCCTACCTCTGCGCTGCTCAGGCAAGCATTACAAAGCTCCTGAGCTCCACCGATAAGTGCCTGGAGGCACCCCACTCTGCCAGAAGCCTCAGCAAGAAGGCACTCAACTCCCTTGCCCAAAGGATCTTCGAGCCTAGCTCCACTAAGTGCCCAGAGGCACCCTACTCCTCTACAGGCTTCTGGCCCGAAGACACTCAGGTGTCTTTTCCATGGGTCAGCACGTTTACTGTAGCAACCTTGCTCCATGGCCTTCTTTGGCATTACTGCTCTCTCTGTGGCTCCTGAGTCATTTTTCTGCATGTGGAAATCCAGTTTTCCCAACACCCTTTATTGAAGAGACTCTTCTTTCTCCATTGAATGAACTTAGCAACCTTGTCAAAAATCCGTTGACTATAGATGTATGGGTTTATTTCTGGACTCTCAAGTCTATTCCATTGGTCTATGTGTCTATTGTTATACCAGTACCAAGCTGTTTTGATTACTGTAGCTGTATACTATGTTTTAAAATCAGGAAGTGTGAGTCCTCCTACTTTGTTCTTCTTTTTCAATAGTGCTTTAGCCATTCGCGGCCTCTTGCCATTCCACATAAAGTAGAGGATTGGTTCTTCCATTTCAGAAGGCTGTTTGAATTTTGATTGGGATTGCATTGAATCTATAGATCATTTTGGGTAGTATTGACATCTTAACAATATTAATTCTTTTCAACCCAAGAACACGGAACATCTTTCCATGACCTTCATTTTTTAAGGATAGCTATTCCAGACATAGAATCTTGGTTGACAGCCTTGTTTTGTTTTTCTTTCAGCAGTTTGATTATATCAGTTCACCGCCTACTAGTCTTCATAGTTTTTGATGAGAAGATAGCCATTTTTCATGTTGTTCCTCTGTATGTGATGAGCCATTTTTGTCTTGCTGCTTTCAAGATTTTCCCTTTGTCTTTGGTCTTCAACAGTTTGGCTATGATGTGTCTACTTATAAACCTCTTTGTGTTTTTCCTACTGGAGTTTGTTGAGCTTCTTGGATATGTATATTAATATTTTCCATCAAATTTGGGATGTTTTGAGCCATTATTTCTTCAAGTATTTTTCTGCACCTTTCTATTTTTGCTCTACTTCTGAGCTATTCATTACACATATGTTGATATGCTTGATATTGTCCCACATATTTCTGAGGCTCTGTTCATTTTTTCCTACATAATTTATCTCTCTGTTTATCAGACTGGATAATTTCTGTGAATCTCAAGCTCACTAATTATTTCTTCTGCCATTTGAAATATGCTTTTGAGCCCCTCTACTGAATTTTTTACTTTGTTTATTGTATTTTTCAAATCAAGAATTTCATTTGGTGTTGTATACAATTTCTATCTCTTTCTTGAGATTGTTTATTCATTAAATCATTGTCATCATACTTTTTTTTTTCAAGTCTTTAAATATGACTTCGTAGTTCTTTAGACATAATTATAATACCTGCTTTGGAGTCTTTTTTTTTTTTTTTGCTAAATCTAACATTACAGATGAACATTTTAAATAAGTTTTGATGGTAGAGAAACTAAATTTGAACCCCAATTAAGTGAAATGTTATCCCCCCCAAAATAATTCCATTCTTCTCATTAGTAGATCTTTATTACAGGTGAAAAAAAGTTGTCAATTATTATAATTATATTTTGAATTTCATCAATAAAAATGTGTAAAAATTTATTTTCCCATGTTATGTAAATACCTATATAATACCCACGATTTTTCCTCTTGGCCTGCAAATCCTGAAATATTTACTATCTGACCACTTACAAGAAACATTTGCAAACCTCTGTCTAAGATGATATCTGCCTAGCAAATTAAAGGTTTACCTTATCTGGAAAAAATATCTCCAGAGCATCTAGATTTGTATATGCATAATATCTGGCATTCAAAGAAAAATTACCAGTCATTCCAAGAAATAGGACCAAATGACTGAAAACCAAGAGAAAAAACAGACAATAGCAACAAAACTGTAGATGTTTCAGATACTGGAGTTATCAGGCAAGAATTTTATTCAGGCAAGGATATATTTTTAAAATAGGTGAAAAGTTGAAGAATTTCATCAGTTCATTGTCATATATAAGGAAATATTTCAAGCATCATAAGATCTATAAAAATGGCATAATACTTTTGTTAGGTAATTTGTGATACACCTTCACAATACTTTTTTTTCCCAGCAATTTTGGCTGCTTATTCATTGACTGCTTTTCTGATTATAATTAATTTATAATGTTATATTCTATGGTGATGACAGATAGATTATTTAATCTTTCCTCTAACGTGGCTGATCATTTCCTGCATCAGCAGCAACTATCTGTACCATTCCTCAGAAAGCACCAGACTTTGTCAGGACAAACTGTGTTAGACCACCAGACTTTGTCAGGACAAACTCTGTTAGACTTGCTAAGATAAAATTCAATACATTGGGATGCATAAAATTTGTAACCTTACACAGACATACTCACCCTTTGTGGCATTGCTATAGGTTTGTGTTCTACAAACACAAAAATTATTGATAAATGCTATTTTGCACAATTCCCATAATAAATAAATAAAGATGCCTGGTGCATTTATAACTGTATGCACTTTGTTATTGAGTATACTCCTGACAGGAGATAACTTTAGTTCTGATCAAATGTCAATGAGAACCAAATCCTCCATTTATAATTTTACATGTCTAATGTTTGGAAGGGGCCCTGGTGGCATAGTGGTTAAGCATTTGGCCGCTAACCAAAAGGTCAGCAGTTCGAACGCACCGGCTTCTCTTTGGACACCCTACAGGGCAGTTCTACTCTGTCCTATAGGGTAGCTTTGAGCTGGAATCGACTCGATGGCAACGGATTTTAACAGGTTAATGTTTGGAAGAATTTTCCACAGACCAGCTTTTGGCTTCCTACTTTTTTTCCCCCCAAAGACAATCCTTTGTTACACTGTTAGTTCATAATTGCATGGGAACATTTTAAGATAAATTGAAATTTAGAGCTTCTGGCTTTAAGAACTCAACTATGCCACCAGATGTAAATATCAAAAGCTACAAAAGCTCTTCTTGGGCAGCTTGGCAAGAGACAATGCTAGAAAGTTCATAAATTTAATGATACCAAATGGGCCTGTCCTAGAAAAAAATAGTTGCCAAATACATTTCTTGGCTGTCTCTGATACTCAACAAGTTGAGCATGTTTCTGCCAAGTTGTTACATCAAATGCTGACATTGTTTAGGTTTTCTGAGTCCAAACTCATGGTGGCCCAGGTCCCTGGACTTCAAATTCTATCCCTGCTGCACCGTAGCTGATTTTTCTCTGGGGACGTAGCCTGCAAAGAACCTAGATTATTAATCTCACTTTCCACCCCAACTGTCAATCACAGCATAAAAGTTATCTTCAGAAAACCGTAGGTTCACCACTACACCTTCTGCCAGTAATTCCAGCTATTCTGGGTGATTTGATCACACTTCCTACACTTTAAACTTTGTTTCTCCTCCACTATCTATATTTTTCCGGTATTGTGTAACCTATGACATGTCCATACAATCTCTGGCCCTTTTTCTTTGTGTCACGAGTCTGGATGATTCATCAAAATGGACAGGAGGAATATTCCTATACCAGAACAGCTCCCAATACCTAAACTATACAGAAAAGTGACTATAAACCACATAAATACATCTCTTTAAACCTAAATTAAAAGTCTTCCTAACGCAACTTCCCCACTGCTAGATCCACAAAATGGAGAAAGCTACTCTATCACCATGTAAAATGAAGACGATACTATGGAGGAAAAGCAGAGTGGAAAGAGACAATGGTCTTAACTTATCACAGTTGAAATATCTTATTGTCTTTAGTATATACACAAAGTTGTGCAAGCATCTCCATTAATTCCAGAACATTTCATCAACCCAAAAGACCCATATCTTTGTGAGCACATTTCTGGGACTTTGCCCAGGACCTTGGAAGGGACCCAGGCAAATGAAGGGTCCTGAAGCTTAAGCATCATTAGCTGGCAGTGTAAATGAGAAACCAATAACAATGATTATGCCCTGGAGAGTTTCCCAACTGAGCAGATAGGGCACAAGGGCCAGAGGGAGACTTTCTACTCTATGCTTTTTTATCATTTTGATGTTTGTCTAAGTTAGTTCAAAAGCTAAATTAAAAAGTTTTAATTGAGGCCAAATATGATAAGTTGTAAATGAGTAGTAACTCCATTAAGCACTAAATGACCACTGATTTTAAAAAAGAAAGTAAGAAAAAATCAGGAACCAGCAACCATTGTGAATAAAACAGTCTATACAAGGACTCTGAGGGGTGGAGATAGACCCCGTATACTGCGTAGGGAGTGAGATAAGCATCCCATTTCTCAGCAACCTTCAGTCTCAGCCGCTTTAGATTGACCTCATTAATATTATGTAGACACATATGCAAGTAGTCCCTCATGTGATTTCATGGGCGCAAGAATGATGCCATTATAAATGCAGGAAGAAGTGTAAAACTCTGCAGCTTCTCTGTAGCCCCAGCCACAGGTAGCCACTGAGCGTGTGAACTGTGACTAATACAAACTGAGATGTGATATAAGTGTAAAATACACACCAGATTTCAAAGATTTAGTCCAAAAAAATGTAATTTCAAAAATCAATTTCACAAAACATTAATTTGATGATGTGGAAATGACAATATTTTGTATAGATTGGGGTAGGTAAAACATTATTCAAACTCATTTCACCTGTTTTTGTTGTACTTTTTAAAATGTGACTCACTACATGTCTATCGGGCGGTGCTGCTCTCAAGGCATGCTCCAGTTCCTCCAGCTTGTAGGACTCCTGAGGATGTCATGTGACATACCTACGCCAATTTTGTCACTTTTAAGGAGAAGCTAAATTCCCAAATATCAAGAGCTATAAACTCTCAGAATGAGAAAATTACATATCTATCACTACAATTGAATAGATCCATTAAAGTGTTATATAATTACATTGTTTCACAAGTTTGAAATCATCTCAAGAATTCTCTTTAGAGTAATAAGTAGTTTCTCCAAATACTTCTTTTTTTTTATTATTAGCAACTCACTTCATGCATCTCTAAAATATCTTAAATTATATAAAATGAGAATAATGGGTTTCCATAATCTTTAAAGACAATCTTATAAGGAAAACGTTATACAGCAAGAAAAAGTCACATGCAAAATCTGAATGATTTTTTAAGTAGTCAACATTTTGTACTACGGAGAAATATTGTACTGGCTTATCCTTCAATATCAGCTGGTCTACAGATCACAAACCCGTGCTGGATGGTTGAGCAACTTGTCCGTGTAGAAACTGTTAAGATGGTGTATGTTTTGTTATTTATATTTTCAACATAATATAAAAAAAAACTCTTGGCGGGGGAGCTTCATTTTTAAAAATGTGTCCTAAGCACTGGTAATACTAACAATGTCTTCTTTCCTAAGGGCAACCAACTTAGAAGGCCATTTCAGTTATCGGTTTGAACAATTAATTAGGATTGTAGAAGAGACCATGGTGTTCACAGTGGAAACCATCTAATATTCCTTTCTCATTATAGTGTGGCGGGAGTCACGTGACTTCAGGATCACGTCTTTGTCAAGAGGTTGCCTGAAAATCACGTAAAGCTCTCTTACAGATCAGCATTACCTACTTCTGTTTAGCGATGTATTTTGTTCTTATGTGTAGTAGCTCCAACTAGATGCGTTTATAGAAATGGAACAAAGTAATAGTTTAAAAAAAAGAATCTGAGGTGGCTACACTTCAGTGATTCAATAGAACATGGACTTTTGTCCTACTACACTTTCTCCAGATAAATACTTTTTTATTGAGATATAATTTACATACCATAAAATCCACCCTTTGGAAGTGTACAATTCAATGGTCTTCAGCATATACACAAGGTCGTACAACCATCACCAGTAATTCCAGAACATGTCATCAACCCAAAAGAAACTCCAGCAGTCATTTCCCATTTCCCCCTACCTGCAGTCTCAGCCAGCCACCAACCAAGAACTTTTCAATGTCTATGCATTTGCCTGCTCTGGACATTTCATATGAACGGAATCATACAACGTGGCTATTTGTGGCTTCTTTCACTCAGCGTAATATTTTCAAGGTTTATCCATGTTGTAACCTGGATCAGTACTTCATTCCTTTTTATGGCTGAATGGTATTCCATTGTATGGATATACCAGGTTTTGTTTATCCATTCTTCTGTTGATGGACATTTCAGTTGTTTTCATTTTTGGCTATTATAAATAATGCCACTTTGAATATTAGTGTAAAAGTTTTTGTGTGGCCATATATTTTTATTTCTCTTGAGTATAGATTACAGAATGACTGGGTCATATGACAAATCTGTGTTTAATATTTTGTGCACCTGCTAAACTATTTTCCAAAGCATCTTCAACATTTTATCCCAACAGCAATATATGAAGGTTCCAATTTCTCCACATCCTTACGAACATTTGCCATTGTCTGTCTTTTTTATTTTAGCTTTCTAGTGGGTAGGAAGTGGTATCCCATTGTGGTCTTGATTTGCATTTTGCTAAAGATTGATAATGTTGAGCATCTTTCATGTACTTATTGGCCATTTATATGTCTTCTTTACAGAAATGTATATTCAAATCCTTTGCCCATTTTAATTGGGTTATTTGGTTACTTTGTTGTTGAGTTGTAAGAGTTCTTTACATATTCTGGATACTAGACACTTATGTGGAAGAAAGGCCTGGCTATCTACTTCTGAAAAATCAGCTAATGAAAACCCTATGGATCACAGCAGTCCAGTCCACAACCGGTAATAGGGGTAGCACAAGATTGGGCAGCATTTCATTCCATTGTGTGTAGAATCCCCTTATGTAATATGTACATACCCTTATGTAACATGATTTACAAATATTTTCTCCACTTCGGTGGGTTGTCTTTGTCCTTTCTTGATAGTTTCTGAAGCACAAAAGGTTTTAATTTTGATGAAGTCCAATCTATCTAATTTTTCTTTGGTTATTTGTGCTTTTGGAGGCATATCTAAGAAGTCATTGACTAGTCCAAGGTCACGAAACCTTACCCTTGTGTTTTCTTCTAAGGGTTTTATGGTTTTAATTTAGACTTTTTGAGTTGATTTTTGCCTACATTGTTAAGCAGAGGTCCAACTCCATTCTTTTGCAAATGTGTATCGGTTGTCTTAGAACCAATTGTTGAAATGACTGTTTTTACTCCATTAATTTATCTGGCACTCTTGTTGAAAATCAGTGTTCCATAAGTGAAAGGGTTTATTTCTGGACTGTCAGTTCTATTCCATTGTTCTATATGGCTATCTTTATGCCAGTACCACACTGTCTTGATTACTATAGCTTTGTAAGAAATTTTGAAATCAGGAAGTTTGTGAGTCCTTTAACTTTGGTCTTCCATATGAATTTTAGAATCAGCTTTCCTGAGAGAAAGGAAAGAATATGTTCATACAAAGACTTGTACACAAATGTTCATAGCAGTTTTATTTGTAATGGCCCCAAACTGGAAATAAGCCAGTTGTCTATCAACATGTGAGTGGATAAACAAATTGAGGTTTATCCATACAATAGACTACTACTCAGCAATGAAAAAATAAACATAGATGAATCTCAAAATAGTTATGCTAAGTGAAAGAAGTTAGACAAAAAGTAATATAAATTGTATGATTTCGCTTATATAAAAGTCTAGAAAATACAAACCCATCTATAATGTTGCATTAAGCTAATCTGCTGCAAAAGACCTCTTTAAAGTCTTAAAAAGCAGATGTCACTTTGGGGACTAAAGTGCACCCGACCCAAGCCATAGTATTTTCAATTGCCTCATATCTATGTGAAAGCTAGGCAATGGATAAGAAAGACCGAAGAATTGATGCCTTTGAATTATGGCGAACAATACTGAATGTACAACAGACTGCCGGAAGAAGGAACAAATCTGTCTTGGAAGAAGTATAGCTAGAATGCTGCTTAGAAATGAGGATGACTAGATTTCATTTCATGTACTTTGGACATGTTCTCAGGAGGGACCGAGGTCCCTGGAGAAGGACATCATGCTTAGTAAAGTGGATGGTCAGCAAAACAGAGGAAGACCCTCAACAAGATGAATTGACACAGTGCTGCAACAATGGGCCCAAGCATAACAATGATTGTGAGGATGGCACAGGACCGGGCAGTGTTTCATGCTGTTGTACATAGGGTCGCTATAAATCAGAACCAACTCGACAGCACCTGACAACATACAACAAACTATAATGACAGAAAGCAGATCGGTGGGTGCTGGGGGATGTGTGAGGGTGTATGGATGGACGAGAGAGAGATTACAAAGAAGTACAAGTACACTTTTGGGAGTGATGAATATATTCATTATCTTAATTGTCATGATGGTTTCATGGTATATAAATATGTCAAAACTTATCAAATTATCCAATTTAAATATGTGCAATTTATTTTCTGTCA